AACTGATAGTGAGCACGTCTCTTCCATATTGAAAATGATGAGAGGGGGCAGGAGGGCCATTTAGCTGGTCAAGGTCAATGACCCCCTTCCCATTGGTCGACACTGGGCAGTGCCATTCATTTCAATACTTCCTGTTTCATCATCATATTATAATACCCAAAGTTTCTTCTACAAATTGGCTCGCTTTTTGGCCTCATGAGATGAAGGAGTTGGAAATAATAATAAAGGACACAATATCTTTTCGAATAGCATCATTTACTCCTCTAACTACGTTAATTGTTTTTGTCGATGAGTCATTTATCCATATGCAAATGCAATTCACTCAATACAACAAACCCATTCTGAAATCGATCTCCTCCTTTTTCTGCTTGAATGGTGGATTTCTAAGCTAAAATTACAAGAATGGTCAATACATTTGGGATAATAGAGATTGCAGATGACCCAAACAAGCGCCATCCTTTCTTACTCTACCATTTGCTTGCAATTAAAAATTTTTTTTAATTAATCACTGATATCTGATCTATTGATCAACTAATCCAGATCAGATATTACAGAGACAATGACGAACTTCCCTACCCAATTTACTCTATTCGCAAACAATTAAAAAATATTTTAAAACTTCATTTGTATAACCAAGTACGTGGCATGATGAATGACTAATGTTATTATAAATTAAACTAATATTTTTTATAGCGCTCATCCCATATATTTTATGTTTAATGAAAGATATCTGAAATTAATTTTTCACAAAATAGTTAACGCCGAAATTAAAATAAAAAACAATTTTTTATAACTTAAGAAGATTAAATATTTAATGTATTTATAATATTTTCATCGATCAATTAACTACATTATATAAATATAATATTAATTTATTTTAAATAATAAATCATTATTTGATTTATTTTAACATATAATTTATAAATTGTGTACTAATTAAGCTGTGCACGTTCCTCTATGTTTTCTTTCCCCGTTTTAATAAACTGTGTCATTTTAAGACGGGAGGAGCAGAGCAGATCAATTGGCGCCGCCATATAACCGAGCCACTCAGTCACTCTGTTACGAAACGCTTCTCTCTGGCCAAACCAAAGTAGCATCGATGGCCTTTACCGACCTTTTCGCCGGGGAAATTGCGACGGAACTTCTAAAACAGTTAATCGTTATCTCACGCAAGTCATGCCTCTGCAAATCCAGTGCGGACAGTCTCATAACAAGCATCGAAGAACTCCTTCCCATCATCAATGAAATCAAGTACTCAGGCGTCGAACTCTCTGCCATCCGTCAATCTCAGCTCGACCTTTTCTCCGAGACCCTACGCGGCGGCATCGAATTGTCCCGCAAAGTCCTGGCTTCCGGCCGTTGGAACGTCTACAAGAATCTCCAGTTGGCCAGGAAGATGGAGAAGTTAGAGAAACAAATTTCGAGGTTCGTTAGCGGGCCGATGTTCACCACATGCGGTTCGAAACGATGGAGCGGTTCGACCGGTTGGAAGGCCGGTTGGAGCAGAGGCTCAATTCGATGAAGATCGGAGCGGGAGGGTGGGTCGAAGAAGCGGTTAAGAGAATGGAAGTTGAAGAGGAGGCTAGTTTTGGGAATGATCGGTGGAGTTGGTTTGGATTTGGGAAAAAAGAGTGAAAAATATGATAATCGGAAGAGATGATATAAACGTTGTTGGAATTTGGGGTATTGGAGGATCGGGTAAATCTACGCTGGCCAATGAATTTGTAAAGATGATCAAGTCCGAAGTTAGTTTTTTTCCTTGATGAAAGGAGTTGATCAAATAAAGTTTTTGTCGATTCTTTCTGTCGGTAATGCCCGATTACGGTAGAACTAATTGCTTCTGTTTTCATTTTTTAAGGTTACTTCAACGACAGAATTTTTTCTTAACTGTATCACAATCACCGGATATCCAACAGTTGAGGACAAGAATATGGGGATTCCTTACAGGAAACGAGGCCATGGGTTACACCAATAGCCTGTTTGTTCCACATGGGAAGTTACAGTGCGAGTGGGGAAGTGGACCACGAACTCTGGTTGTTTTGGACGATGTTTGGTCCCTTCCCATACTGGAACAACTAATTTTCAGGATCCCAACATATAAAACTCTGGTCGTTTCAAGATTCAGGTTCTCAACAACTGTCGTTCATGAAGTTTACAAAGTAGAGTTGCTGAGTGAAGATGAATCGTTGTCCCTGTTTTGTCACTCTGCTTTCGGGCAAACTTCGATCCCGCCTACTGCTAGGGATGACAAAAAAAATTAAAAATCGAGTTAAACGGGGACGGGAAAAAACCGTTTATGTTAAACGGGGACGGGGACTGGTTTAGTAATCTCCACCCCGATACTCGGCTCGATAAATATTAAAAATAATTATTATATATATATATAATATTAATAAATTAAAATTAAATTAAAATAATATATATAATATTTATATATTTAATTTAAATATATACCCAGCCCAATATTCATTTAAATAACTATTTATATTAAACGGGATACCCGTTCTTCGCGGTTTTTCCGATTACCCATGGGGATCCCCGTTTAAATCTTCGTGGTTTTTTAAACAGAGATGGATACGAGTTTTTTAAACGGGGACGGGGATCAATACCCGGTCCGAACCCGACCGTTGCCATCCCTACCTACTGCCAATGAAACTTTGGTCAAGCAGGTAACCAATTAACTTCAAGGATTACTCGATGTTCTTTTGTTGTTTATTTCTTTGCTGATGATTTGTTAAATTCTGGATTTGGTAGATTGTTAATGAATGTAAAGGACTTCCTTTGGCACTTAAAGTGATCGGAGCTTCGCTGCGAGACCAACATGAAATGTATTGGGCCAGTGCTAAGAAAAGGTTATTACGAGGAGAACCGATATGCGAGTCCCACGAAAACAAGCTGCTGGAGCGGATGGCAATAAGTGTGGAATACTTGAACAAAAGGTTAAGGACTGTTTCTTGGATTTGGGATCTTTTCCAGAAGATAAGAAATCCCCCTTGATGTTCTCATTAATATGTGGGTTGAGATACATGACATTGATGAGGAGGAAGCTTTTGCCATTCTCGTCGAACTTGCTGATAAGAACCTTATCACTTTGGTGAAAGACGCACGGTAAGTTGCTTGAAATTCTTTGTTTACGGAGCAAGTAGCTTGGATTGATTTTTGTTAGTTGAGACTGAATGTTGCTTTCTGAACTGTATTATGTAGGGTTGGAGATGCATACACTAGTTTTTATGAAATCTCTGTTACTCAGCATGATGTGTTGAGGGACCTTGCTCTTCATCTAAGCAATCGAGCGGATGTGAATGAGAGAAAGCGGTTGCTTATGCCTAGAAGAGATACTGAACTCCCGAGAGAATGGGAAAGAAACACGGATCAGCCATTCAATGCTCAAATAGTTTCAGTTCATACAGGTATCATGATCACTTGTTTAATTGCTTTGCTTTATATAAGAGTGTTTGATTACCTTCACCTAAATCCAGAACTTACTTGGTATTTCTATTGCAATACATGTCCTACTGTCTTTTTGCTCGTTAAATTTAAAATTTTATCATTTGGCAGGAAAATGAGGGAAATGGACTGGTTTCGTATGGAGTTCCCCAAGGCTGAAGTACTCATGCTGAATTTTTCCTCCAGTGAATATTTCTTGCCTCCTTTCATAGATAGCATGCCCAAGCTTAAGGCACTTATTGTGATAAACTATGGTACAACAGCGGCAATACTTAAGAATTTTTCAGCCTTCACCACTCTAGCATATTTGCGGAGCCTATGGCTTGAAAAAGTGTGGGTTCCTCAGTGGACCAGCCCCCTGTTCCCCTAAAGAACTTGCAGAAACTATCTATGATTCTTTGCAAGGTTAGTAACAACTTTAATCCATCAGTGCTAGACCTGCCGCTGATCTTCCCTCGTCGGATCTCATAATCGATCACTGTGATGATTTAATGAAGTTGCCACTGAGCATCTGTGTGGTGAATTCACTCAAGAGCCTGAGCATAACCAACTGCCACCGATTATGTGAATTGCTTGCTGATTTGGGTATGCTGAAGAAACTACAGATACTGAGGTTGTACGCTTGTCCAGAGCTGAAGGTGCTGCCTCCCAGCATTGGCGAGCTTATTGGGTTAAAATACCTTGATATTTCACAATGCGTTAACTTGAGGTGCCTACCAAGGGAAATAGGTAAATTAGCAAGCCTGGAAAAGATAGACATGAGGGAATGCTCGCAGATAATGAGTCTACCACCAGGAACCGCCTTATCAAACTTGAAGTCGCTGCGCCGAGTCACCTGCGATGATGAAGTTTTGTGGCAGTTGAAATACCTGGAGAAGGCCATGCCAGAGCTTTATGTTCAAGTTGCGGAGAAATGGTATAGTTTGGACTGGTTGGATGGCTAAAAGTAAACAACTTGTGCTATCATGTATCCGCTAATGTAAATATCAACGTGCGTAATTTTAATAAAAGCGAGGCTTTTTTTCTTCTTGATGTGAGATAGTTCGTCACTTGGAAAGTTCGGCTACGAATATATTTTCGAAAACATTGCATCTAGCTACAAAAAACCTTTATTTTTTTTCCAGTAGGCTGGTCCCCATGTTAATATTATCTGAGATGTTGACTGGCGGCTGAGCAGTAAGCATTAATGGATAGCTTCATTTGTTTGCTTAGCTTAGAGGAATTGATAGGCCCAGGAATAGAGATACACCCAAGACAGAGATGTTTCTCATGGAATTATTATTTGAAAACTGTATGAATGTGACCCCAGAAGCAGCTGCACCGCGAGAGAAAAGAGGGACGGAAATTCCGAATTATAGAAAGAAAAGAATATCGGAAACAACCCATCACAACACAGTAACTCACCAACAATGCCCAACAAAATGCGGTATATGGCAGCAAATATTGGCAATGGAATAGAGGCGAAATCAAATATGACCACGGTAAATATATGGCAAATTTTTCAATGCAATTAATCAGAAAGTAGAAAAAACAAACCAAATGGAGAAAAATATGATGCAGTTGAAATCTGCACAACCCTTCTGCTTCCTATATGCGTAAGCCCAAGAAGGCCAACATTTTCACTGCAACACCAATCGGATGAGAAGCTGAAACAAGTTTCTACAGCATAGTGCTTATCCGTTATGGATTTTACGGTTAATTACTACTCTATACAGAAAGGAACTTCTCTATAAAAACAAAACTACCATACACGGATGCAGTAGTACCAACAAGAGAACCAAAAACCCCTTCAAGCAGCATACCAAGGCCCTGGCATTTAGAAGCAAGATGGCTAAGTTATCTACATCACTGAAAATATTATAATGTGATTCAGGACCGTAGTTTATCATTTTTAGGGAAATCATTGACATTTGAGTTTCACAAACCAATTTACAAGAATATAGTAAATAATGACCAGTAACCCAATACTTCTGCCGAGTACATGTGCTGGGGGGCTGTGGCACCAGAAAGCCGAGCTGCAGCGAAAAATGTTCCAGTTGACTGCATTGAACGTCATAGAAAGTTAAGTGACTGAACCTCAGCAGATAAATAAAATAAGTGCATGTTGCCACTGCAAAATAAAAATGTAATAAAATAGAACTGAAGTCATTTAAGATTGCGACAAAACCTCAGCAGATGAAACAAGTGCAGCACCTATCATCCCGAACACATGGCTAGCCCTAAATTGGCGTACCCCACTGAAATGGGTATGAAATTTTGATCCTACAAGCAGTGACATACAATAATCGGCTGAAATGGGTATGAAATTTTGAACACCAAGAATGATGCAGCTTAACCTATAAAATAGCATTGTGATTTCGGAGGTAACTCGGATATAATCGGATTGAGCAAAAATAGTGGAGATAAAGTAATTAAGTTCAAGTTAGAGAGGCAAAAGAATGACTTCTTCAAATCAGGCATGAAATCAAGAAGCGTTCATTTGAATCATCAGCTACTATGTTCAAGTCAGGATCATTCACATTATCCATGACCTTAACAAATAGAAATCTGTAACTTATACCCAAAAACAAATTTTATCACTTCTACCTATTGAATGAAGAATAGCCCTACTTTATTACAGCACAGAACAAAAGACTTTATAAGTCAGAAGTTCCTTTACTTCTGATGCGGAGTTGCGAAGGCTTAGATAAAATCTCTAGCAATCCTTACCTTAACACGAATTTCGGAAGTGCAAGGAATTCGAGACAATCTCAAATTGGATAAAACACCCAAAGTTAACAAAAAGATCCTCAATAGAGACAAGTTGAAGATTGTTAGAGTTTGACTCGAATTCAATTTGACTCAATTAATGAAGTATTCATCATTTGGTTTTCACCAGCATTCAGCTACTTTACAACTCCAGCGGAAGTTGGTTGGCTTCAAAAATCCGCAACAGAGAAAAGTTGAACTACTTCTATTGGTTAATATCAGCGTTGAGTTCTGTTAACTGACATTTATTGGTTGTTCCTCTGGGTACAATTGTAACAACGTGATGGGAATGAAGAAAGAAAAATATGTTAACGGTAATGCTGATAAGGACACACGAAACAGCTTAAATTTATAGTGTTGTATTAACAAGTGTTTCACATCAATATTTTGGAAGTAGACCAATAGTGATAACCATGAAGTTAGAATAAAATTGATGCATATAATCATAAATTTATTTAATCACTGTATATAGTATGTCAGATTTCACCTCAAGACGCGGTTTTGGTATGGAAAAGAATGGACGTGAAGAAAAAAAATGTCATACAAAGAACCTGGAAAGAACTCAAGTTTGTAGAATTTTATACTGCACCTATTTGCTTGATATTCTCATATGCCCAAAAAATATTAAGTTTACATGTCATGTCGCTTTGGATGTACAATGAAAGAAGGTAAAGAATGTGAGTTACCATATTCTCTTCATTACAAATGAAAATAAAATAATCGAAATATGCATTAGCAGTACATGGAGAACAATCATACTAAGATTCACAGGCCTCCCTTTCCTACTTTTCAACAGTTCTCTTACCAAAATTGAGAATCTACCGGCACAAATATTGACCTTCAGCTAAGCCCTTTTCTCAACCATAAAAAATCTGACAATACACCTTGCTTCACATATTAAACAATCTCGTATCTTTGCTTCACCTTAAGATCTCCGGTTCTCTATTCTGTTCTGTACAGAAGGGATGCCCGCTTTCTAACATGCAATAATCTCAAGCACGGAAATTAGAAAACGAATAGAATATCAGAGAGATATCATTCATTTTTCTTTCCTTGATTCTTCCAAATCCTTGTCGAGGTAAATTTGACAATCTAATTACAGGAAAAATGTGTCCGTGGTCAACAATTGGCCATCAACAAGATAACAAAAATGGATATTGTGAATACATCATCCAATAAATAATGCTCCAGGGCACGAAATCGAGTTCCGAATTCTTGCTGCTGAATATTGACTCGCATAAAGTCTTTTTTTTTAATAAGTTAGCTTTTATCCAAAAGAGCATTGAAGCTACAAAGAACGTCCCAAAAAGGGTTTACAACCAAATTTACAACAAAATGATTAATCTATACCCCAGGAGTTGCAAAGATTACAATTAACATTATCTAATCTATTGATATTTTGTCTCTAGTTTGGGTTCGGACTATCTCTTTGATGGAAGATAGAAGTTGGTCGACTTCTCTGGATCCTCGATGAAAATTCTTCTATTTCTCTCTTCCCATATCATGTAGATGAACGAAGTCCAAGCAAGCTTCATGATTATAGTAATGAGGGATTTACCTTTCTATTCATCACAAGCCCAGCTAATAGTTTCATCCCATGTCCTGTGAGAAACTCGCAGATGAGTAAGGGTAAGAATGGAGCTCCATAGGGATTTAGCAAAGCTGCAATCAGAAAATAAATGGTCTCTTGTTTCATTAGTATCATTGCAAACACACAACTGAAATCATTGATGATGCCCATCCGAGATAGTCTTCCTCTAGATGGAAGTCTGTTCAAGATGGACATCCAAGTGATCATACTGAATTTCGGTATGTGGGAAGGAAACCATAAGATTTTATGCCATTGAACCTTGCTTCTTTTTTCTCTAACAGCTTCCCAACATCTGGTTATTGTAGTTCACGCGTTTAGAATTGGAAGAGCAGTAGATTGGAGATTCATTAATCTCTTGATGCTCCAGTTGTAAGAAGGTTTAACAGCCATGTTTTATAAGCGACCCAGAGTGACCCTTACCCTGCCAGAACGTTTCAAATAAGCTGGACCATGCAGGCAGTGTTCCAGGTTTTGATGTTTTTCAAGCCTAATCCACCTTCAGATTTGGGGCAACAAATACGAGTCCAGCTGACTCTGGCTCCGGAAGAAGACTGGTCCGTTCCTTTCCAAAGGAACCTGGAACAAAGCTGGTTAATACGATTAATAATAGACTGAGGAGGTTGAACGGCCTACACCAGTAATTGGCCATACTATACAGGACCGTTTTAACTAATTCAAGTCTTCCAGCATAGCTTAGGAGTTTGCTTGACCAATGGTGGAGTCTAAGCTTGATTCTGTCGATTAGAGGCTGGCAGTCCTGTTTAGTTAGCTTTTTAGTGACTAATGGAACCCCCAAATATCTAACAGGGAGAAGACCTTGTTTGAACCCAGAAATAGATTTGATAATTTGAAGATTCCGAGATGAAATTCCAGCAACAAAGAGTTCGGTCTTGCTTACATTGAGCATAAGACCAGACATGTGGTAGAAGTGATTTAATACGGAGATATCCCAGCTATTGAATCAGGATTTCCTTTGCAAAAAATTAAAAGATCATCTGCAAAAGAGAGGTGAGTAAGGCTAACTTTTTGCATTTAGGAAGGTAGCCGAAGATCCCTTTGGTGGCAGCAAGATTAAGAGTTTTAGAAAGAATGTTCATAGCCAACACAAAGATGATAGGGGACAAAGGGTCACCCTGTCTAATTCCTCTCTGGCCTTTGAAATAACCAACCAGACTGCCATTGAGGGAAATTGAGTATCTAGCTTCAGAAAAAAGCTTGTATCCACCTTATGAAGATACTTGGCAGCCCAATAGAGTAAAGTCTTGAAGATATCTAAGATGTCAAGAAACTGCTACAGCATTCTTCCCCACATTTAAGTCATGTATAGTATCTGAAACTTTGGATGGAGGCCAATAGCGAAATACAGATCTACCAACAATGTTCTCTATGGGAAGTGGACCCCTGAAAAAGAAGATGATTGGAATTAAGATGCCAGTCATAGGAGATTACATTCCTAAAATTACAGTGCACGCCAATTATCCATTCTTTTTTTTTAGGTGGAAGAAACATGTTACATGTCTTGCTTTCATAGCTTTTCCGATGCATTCCAAAGCAGTAAGTCAATAGCAAAAATGAAATTTTAGAATTACCAGTCATGGGAATCAAAACTGTGGTTGCGGTTCTCCCAACAAAAACATAACCTTCAGGCACAACCTGCAAAATCACCCAAAAGAAATTAACTTTGCTAACCAATGTGATTGACTTGACCCAGCAACCATATAACAAGCCCGACCAAGAACCACAAAGACAAAGAAGTGCAATCTACAAATGAATAAACAAGGTCGGCCTGAAGTTGGACACTAACCGTAGGATCCGTTTCATAAGCTAATGGCTCTAGAACGAAATCTTCATCTTGAACAACACCATTAACTAACAATTTGCCATCTCGAACCTACCACAAATTCAATATTGAAGGTTAGAAATAGGAACAATTTACATTTTACAGAAAGAAAATGAAAAGTGAAATGATTGAACGCCTTGAATTACACAATCTTAAGAGCTTGCTTCAACACAATCCCCAGCCTTAGCAACAATCCTTTTAATGAAAACATCACCTGAACTGAACCCAATTTCCTGCATATTGATAAAAATCAAAAGTTATAAACTGATCCAAATTTTTAAGCAAATAAATTATAGCTAAAAAGAGCAATCTTTAAGGCCTACCTGCAAGATAGGAGGTGCCCGGAATATAACAATATCGGAAACCTCTGGGTTTCTAAAGAAATATGATACCTGTTATCAGAAAAATGAAACAGATTAGCCACCCCATCTAATTTCACTGCCTATTAAATCGATGTTTCAATAATCGAAGATTTACCTTCTCAGCCACAATGCGGTCGCCAACATCTAAAGTAGGGTACATAGAAGCCGACGGAATTGACTTTGGCTCAGCCAAAAACGACCGGAAAAGTAAACTAACAGTCACGGCAGTAAAAGCAGCCTTGGCATCTTCGGAGCAAACATTTAACACCCTCGAAATCCAACTGCCTTTAACAAACGCTTTGGGATCCAACTCCATGCTCAAACTTCGACCATCATTGTTTGTTCCTCCTCTATCCACTTCACAATTCTCCAGTCCGACAGGATTCGGTTCATTGCAAGGAAGCCACTTCCTGAATTTAAAAGAGAAGAGGGAACCAGTCGGCCGCTGGAAGGACTGAGTTTGGGTTTTTGGGGAGGGGGAAATTGAACTGCAGCGTGGAAGGGGATTGTCTCCGGAGAGCGGGCGGTTAATATATATATATATATATATATATATATATATATGATGTTATCGGATACATTATAATATATTTATAATATTCGGTTTAGCGTTACTGGAAATGTTGAGTAATAATAATGTAGTATGTCTAAATCATGAAGAAATATTAAAAAATTTGACAACCA